AGAATCAGGAGTAATAATAGTAATAATACTTGCATTTGATATAGCAACTTATCACATCTTCGAGACGTCTCAAAGCGGTTCACAGAATATACTGTAAAGTGAACTGACTGTATATTTTGTGAGCGAAATGTCATGGCACATAGTTTACTAGCCCATCTTAAACCTAACTTTCCTATCCAAAGTAAAACAGTAAATGAACAGCTTTGAGTCTCACAAGAAGATTTTAAAAAGAAACTGACCTGATCGACCGTCATTACTCTTTAGCTCCCAAACTGCGTATTAAAGTTATCTCAGTTATTTCTGCAAACCATATACGCACAGCGCCATCTGATGGAAGATCTCTGCAATTAAACAAATGTTGCGCAAAAAAATAGTTCCAAGAGAAAGAATGAGAATAGAACAGAACTTCATTGGTTGATAAAGTGCCACATAAGAGCCTTGTAAGCAAAATAGAAACCCACGGTATTAAAAGGACAGTGGCAGTGGATACAGAACTGTCTGAGAGACAGAAAGCAGAGAGTGGTGGCTTTTCTGACTGGAGGGAAATGTGCAGTGGTGTCCCCAGAGATCAGTGCTCTTTTTGATCTATATAAATGACCTGGACTTGGGCATAGGAGTACAAGTTCCAAGTTTGCAGATGATACTAAGTTAGGAAAAGTAGAAAATAGTGAGGAGGATAGTAACAGACTGCAAGAGGACACAGACAGACTGGTATAATGGGCCGACAGGTGGCAGATAAAGTTTAATGTGAAGAAATGCGAAGTGCTGCATTTTGGGAGGAAGAACGAGGAGAGGCAATATAAGCCGATGGTATAATCTTAAAGGGGGTGAAGGGACAGAGAGACCTGGGGGTCATATAGGGAAATCTTTGAAGGCGGCAGAACAGGTAGATAAAGCTGTTAAAAAAGCGTACGGGATAATAATAATAATAATAATAATCCTTGCATTTGATATAGCGCTTTTCACGTCGGGAGGACGTCCCAAAGCGCTTCACAGAATATACTGTAAAGTGAATTGACTGTATATTTGTGGGCGAACGCGGCAGCCAATTGCGCACAGTGATGTCCCACAAACAGTCGTAGATTGAAAATGACCAATTTATTATTGGTTTTTTTTTTGGAGGGATTATTATTAGGGATACTAGGCTTTATAAATAGGGGCATAGAATACAAAAGTCAGGAAGTTATGATGAACCTTTATAAAACACTGGTTAGGCCTCAGCGAGAGACTGTGTTCAGTTCTGGGCCCCACACTTTAGGAAGGATGTCAAGGTATTGGAGAGGGGGCAAAGGAGAGTTACCAGAATGGTACCAGGAATGAGGGACTTCAGTTATCAGGAGAGGCGAGAGAAGCTATTAGGATTATTCTCCTTGGAGCAAAGGTTAAGAGGAGACTTAATAGAAGTTTTCAAAATTATGAGGGGATTCGATAGGGTGAACAAGGAGAAACTATTTCCACTGGCGGGTGGGTCAGTAACTCAAGGGCACCGATTCAAAATAGCAGTTAAAACAGGGGTGGTGAGAATTTTTTTTACACAGCAAGTTGTTCGGATCTGGAATGCATTGCCGGAAAGGGTGGTGAAAGCCGATTCAATAACAGCTTTTAAGAGGGAAGTAGATAATTATTTGGGGAGGACAAGTTTGCAGGGCTATGGGGAGAAAGCGGGGGAGTGGGATTTGAATTGGATAGCTCTTTTCAAAGAGCTGGCACAGGCATGATGGGCCGAACGGCCTCCTTCTGTGCTGTATAATTCTATGATTCTATGAATACACGGTATTGTGATAAACAATGGTAGCCAAGTGCTCATAGATTCCAATTTTAATCTACAGCATCATTTTAGATTATATGATGGAAGGAAAAGCAAAGTAAATAATTTATACCAAGCTTCTGTCTCTTCACTCATAACTTGCTGTACATTCAATTTTTTTTATTCTACTTCCAAGTCAGGTTTGGAAACCACTACTGTATTTCTTTTAAAATCCACATGACGGGTTCACAAGAAGCCCTGTGATGCATTCCAAAAAGGAGCACAATTACCTACACTTCTTCTGAGCACTAAAGCAGTAATACAAAAAAGGCAGAACGTTATGTAACTTCAAACTCTTTTAAGTCATTGAGACATACCAATACAGCAATGGCTTTGAGTATTTATAATTACAATAATTATTGCATTTGATATAGCACGTAAACATCTCAAAGTTTCTGTAAGTGCACTTAGATTGTGCATTTATATGTCCCACAAATGGCCATGAAGTGAATGTCCAATTTATCTTGGGAATTGTCTAGGATAGGAAGAAACTTTTAATAGTGCCATGAAATCTTTTAACATCCACCTGAACAGACAGATCCTGATTTAACATCTTATCCAAAAAATGGCATCTCTGACAGTACCTTGCTCTTCCATCACTGCATTGGAGTTTCATCCTCCCTAGACTATCAACTTAAAAGTTTTGTTGTGTTTCAGAGGTGAGAGTGCTGAGCCAGGCATACTCACAAATCAGAGGCAAAGTTCTACAAACCCTTTGCCCCCTATGGAAACACATTTTATTCTAGAGTTAAGTCATTGAACAGGTGACAGCATATATTTTTTAAAAGAAATATTCATTGATGTGATTTCCAATATTAGAGTACCTATAACCAGCACGTGCATTGCAGATGATCTCGCACAGATTCTTTCATCTGAGGTAAAGAAAATCTTTCATATTTTGAACTCTGGATGTAGGGGCACAGGATCAATGGAAGAGAAACTCCAGCTGGATCATGATTTTTTTTTACAATTTCAGAGTGTCCAAAACATGGCAAGTTGTTGAATTTAATCCTGAATTTCAAGCTATTTTTTCGCATTTCTTTAAAGAACTTGCAACAAAATTGCTTCAAAATTAAGATTCTATTTAAGAATTTGCCAAGGATATTACATTACACACTACAACAAAACAAAATTACCTTTGTATAGCGCTTTTCACATCGGAGGTCGTCCCAAGGTGCTGGATAATCAGTGTTGCAGGTCGGGATCAGGGTGGGTGGAGAGCAGGGGGGGAAAGGAGGGTGACCAAAGGCACGATCGAGGAGGAGGGTCTTGACACGGGTCTTGAAGGAGGCAAGGGAGGGGTTGAGGTGGAGGGACTACGGGATGCAGTTTCAGAGGGTGGGGTCAGAGAGACAAAAGGCCCGTCGAACAATGGTGGGGCGGGCGAGGTGGGGGACATGAAGAAGGCTGGATCCCGCTGAGCAGAGGGAGTGTGTCACCTAGGGTGGGGAGGATTGACAGGGAGGGTGGGGATGTGGATCTCAAGGTAGGAGAGGTTGGCCCCCGGGTCAGGGACCAATGAGCTTTGAGCCAGAGGTGAGGGATGGAGCAGTCAGGGTGGCGACTGTTGAACAGCCAGCGGGGTCAGCCATGGCGGGCATGATGGAGGATTTACAGGCTGGAGCAGAGGAAGGCTGAGGGAGGGTCGAACAAGGATAGGAGGCAGGGAGGGCAGTGAGAGAAAAGGGTTGAGCAGGACTAATGGAGGGCAAGGGTGGGAACATTTTTGGGAGAAGCAGCTCGGTTTGGTGGCGGCAGCCAAAATGTGCACGGCGAGACTAAGAACAGGGTCAGCGTAGCAAGGTCAGCCTACTGGAGTGGGTCATGCGGAAGGAGGGTGTGAAAGTCTTTGTATATCCATGCTCAGAGTTTTTCATTTTACATAATTATTAATTATTACAAGAAAAATGATTGTTCTGAGTGAGTCAAACAACAGGAAAAACGTTTACAGAAAGCTTACGATCTCAATTTTCGAATTCTGCTCTTCATGAATACCTCTTCCAGTTTATTTCTTCTATTTATTACTTTTCTTCAATAAAGTTGTATTATTACTTTAAGCTGCATTGGTTGATAATAATAATTGGTTCCATTATTTTGAACTGGATGTTTATAAAAGGAAGCAAATCATATATATCTTCTAATATAAATATAGTAATCTAAAGGTAATAAGATCAGATGATAAACCTAAGCAAAATGGCAATAAAATGGCAATTTCATCTTGATGAACCATTAATTACACAATTGTTTTATGGGAGGATTTTTAAACGTATTACAGATTTGTTGTTTTCAATTAAAATTGATCCTGCACAGCTGAATTTTTATTGCTTTGCTGCTGCTGCTGCTTTATTTATTAATGGAAACTGGCATCGATGAGTTGCAAATAGAAACAGCAGAGCAATACAAAATATAGAAAAACATAGATCTGCAATATATGAAAACATATTCAAGATACTATTTATACAATTAATTATTGATGGATCATTAAAATCTGCTATTTGGAGACTTACAATTGCTTTGTCATCTCTAATTCCACAGCCTTTATTATATTGAATTATGAGTTTCATGATGAACACAAAAGTGTGATGCAGGTGCAGGTCACTTTTCCAGGGTGGGGTGTGGGCAGGGTTTTGCCAAAAATTAAAATACATTTGTAGCCAAATCAACCAAATACTAGCCCAAAGGTAGCCCAATATTATGCATTACCTCCTAAGGGTAGCAGTCGCCCATTTAGGTCAGTGCTTTTGAAGCTGTGTAAGAAAACAACAGCAACTTTGTTCATGCCAGAGCATGGAGGGATTGGAAAACCAGTAACAGGATCTTGAAATCGAAAAGGGCTTCGGTGGGGCGGGGATAAGACTTTTGGAGGTTTAAAAAATTAGGCACCGGCCCAAAGCCATTGTTTCACGCACAGAAACAACCAAAACAGAACCCACCCAGAACCGCAGCACCGCGTGCGGATGTGAAGCCACTGTCCCAGAATGCAGTGTTGTTGCCAGAGAGACGTTATCCCAGGGTGCATTGCGGTGCGGTTGTTGCCACGGCAGCGGCCGGGCTGTGGCTGCCGGGGCCGGGCTGTGGCTGTGGCTGCCGGGGCCGGGCTGTGGCTGTCGGGCCGGGGCTGTGGCTGTCGGGCCGGGGCCGGGCTGTGGCTGTGGCTGTCGGGCCGGGGCCGGGCTGTGGCTGTGGCGTCGGGGCCGGGCTGTGGCTGTCGGGCCGGGGCCGGGCTGTGGCTGGGCGGAGGCCGGGGTTTGAGGTGAGCGGTGGTGGCTCCGGGGAGAGGATGTGGACGAGCGTCGCGAGTAACCACTGCTCCGCCGGCCCCCGGGCTCTCCCCCGGGCGAGGGCCGCTCAGCCCGGTCACAATCAACAGCTCCGCCCCCTGGACGCCCTGACCGTCTTTTACATCATTACATTACCACATTACATCAGCAGCACAAAGCGCAGTGTAAAACAGCTGATAAACACCAGTCTATCTCTCCCTCCCATCCTGCCGTCCACCCCTTTTGATGACAATAATAATACAACAACAACAACAAGATTCCATTTATAGAGCGTCTTTCACGTCGGGAGGACGTCCCAAGGCGCTGGATAGTTGGGTCAGGACCCGAGCATTGGGGGGAAATGGTCAGGGGGAGGGGAGGGAAGGGAGGGAGTGAGGAGGGGGTTAGAGAGTCGAGAGGAGAGCTGAAGGCTCGGTCAAAGAGAAAGGTCTTGAGACCGGCCTTGAAGGAGGAAAGGGAGGAAGCGGCGAAGGCACTGGGGGATAGAGTTCCAGAGCCTATCCATTTGATATAGCGAAATGCCCACAAAATCCCAACCCCCAACTCGAGTTCAAATCACTGACCAGGGCGTGAAAGCACTATACAAATGTAATATTTTCTTACATATTTATTACATATTTTCACCAGTGACTGGTCCGCCCTTCCAGGTCCAGCTGATGAGTCAGGCTGAGCTGTGCTGTCATCTGCAGTGCTTTGGAATACTGTGAACTCGCCTGACTCAGGACTTGGACTACCAAGACTGCCAAAGATGGCTGGCTCAATTCCAACATGATGTCGCCAAATGTGTCACCTTGGAGCCATTTTAGTTCCAAGAAGGCCCAGTTTCCCAGTTTATTTCTCCTCTCCCCCCCACCCCCAGGAATTATGGAGCATAATTTGTTGTTGTTGTAACGGCAGTGTTTAACAGCTATCAGTTAACCTAGCTGGCTCGCTTGGTAGCGCTCTGGCCTCATCAGGCTACCATAATACTGATAGTGTTGACAATATATTAACAATACTGTCCTTACCTCGGACCTGCTGACCCCAAATCAACCTGTCCACTCCCTCCGCTCAGCAGACTATGGCCTGCTCCACATCCCCCACCTGGCTCGCCCCATTGGCGGTCGGTCCTTCAGCCTTCCTGCACCCGCCCTATGGAACTCCATCCCACTTTCCCTTTGCCTCGCTCTCTCGCTTGCCTCCTTCAAGGTGCATCTGAAAACTCTCCTCTTCCACCGAGCCTTCGGCCACCCTCCCTGACCTCCACCTTCCCCGTTCCCAACCCTCAGCTCAGATCCAAATCCCTGACTGTCCAGCACCATGACCCACTCTGCCTTCTCCCTCCGCCGCAACATCACCCAGCTCCGCCACTGTCTCACACTGCAGGCCGCCCAAATCCTCATACATGCTTTCATTACATCGAGGCTCGACTATGCAAACTCATTGCTTGTTGACCTCCCCAACTCCTCCCTCTATAGGCTGCAGATCATCCAGAACTCTGCAGCCCGTGACCTCTCCCGTACTAGGCTCCGTGACCTTATCACCCCCATCCTCGCCCAACTCCACTGGCTTTCCATCACACAGAAACTACAGTTCAAGATCCTGATACTCACCTTCAAAGCTCTCCATGGTCTTACTCCCCTTACCTCTGCAACCTCCAAACTCACTACCATCCTGGCTCGCCCCACCTCTTTGACCGTGCTTTCGATCTCCCTGCTTCCTCCCCTGCCCTCCACCCTCCCCAACCCCAACCCCCAGCTCAGGTCTGAAATTCTGTCTGTCCAGCGCCTTGGGATGTTCTCCCGACATGAAAGGTGCTATACAAATGTAATTTTGTTGTTGTTGTCATCCTGACATGAAAGGCGCTACACAAATGTAATGTTGTATTGTATATTAATAATACCATGTCACCCATACAAGATTTGCAGGTTCAAGCCCTGTGTCCCTGACTTTTTAAGCTCTGACACTCCAGTGCAGTGCTTAGGGGGGAGAATCGCGTTGTTGGACATGCCGTTCTCCATTCAGCTCACTCAGGCTTGCTGCGCATCCCCTGCCCTCTCATCACTGGTGGACGAGCTTTCATTTCTGATGCATCCTAACCATTCCTCTACCATCTGCCTGCCCCACACACACACTTTCTTTAAGTTCTACCTCAAATCCTACCTTGTTGAATGTGCCAGTATTCCCTCTCCATTTCCACTTGCTCGGCATCCAACCCCATCATTGTGAAGCACTCCCAAAATGTTATCTTGCAGGAGATGGTGCTTTCACATCAGGAGCATGTTTCAAAGTGCTTCACGGAATTTAATGTAAAGTGTGGTGACTTTATATATTGTAGCTAGTAATTTGTATTGGGACCTGTAGAATCAGCTGGAAAGGAAAACTGTTACTTAGCTTGGATCTATAATGAATCCACAAGTTCCCGTGCCTTAACTGAGCTGTTTTTTGCTCCTACCTGCAGACACTTCCTTTTGTTAAAGGTGCTTTGTCAAGGAATTATACCCTTGAACGGCACAGATAGGCTTACATGAATCAAAATGTCCTATTTAACTCATGAAGTTCAACTGAGCAAGCGTCACGAAGAAATGTAAGTGAGCGTTAACAGAAGTGTATGCATAGACTAATCTGTATTTGTTTAAAACTACTTTTCTTTGCTATTTTTCTCAATTGGCTGGTATGTCATTCAGCATATGGATTTTGTCAAAATTATACTAGCAGCATGTAAGTTGCTATGAATACAATATTGAATTTTCACCAACATCCAGTGGTTAATATGGAATTTGTTAAGAAAAAATACTTAACCAATCCTCTCTAATTATGGTTTGAATAACGTCACTGCCAGAATATTTAATGAAGCTGTAGATGGTAACGGAAATAAAGGTTGTGTGAAGGGAAAATTGAAGGCTATTTGCTGACCTTGTAGTTGTGACCAAATTGTGCTGAAATTTTGATTCTGACTTTTGAAATTCATTTTGAATTTTATTTGAAACAGTAAAGTGCACGTGAGGTGCAAGATCGGATGCTGAAACATTCATTTTTGACTCACTTCATTACCTTTTAGACCTATGTACAAGAGCAGCTTCAAAAGTTTAACCTTACTCATATCCATTTCTCTGTTCACTGTTCTTTAAAGGGCCTCTTTATGCCAACCTATTACAGTTGTGATTAAGGGATTGATTCGCTGTATATTTCCAGTTTTTATTTTAAAATTATGCGTTTATTTGCCTTTGCTTGTGATCTTCTTCAGTTCGCCACTCAGAGGTGCACAGGAGCAAACCTGTTTTTTATTAGATTTTTTTGCCTTTCCCTGTGGGTAAAATGCTGTGTGGGAATAACAATTTTGAATCCTTGTATCATAGTAGACGTAGAAAAATAATTTATCAGGCAAATGTGTTACCAAAATAACCCATAGCCACTAACTATCCAGATCTTGTTGAAATAGAATTGTTTACACAGATTAATAAACCAAATTAATGTAAAATACACATGTATTGGGATCTGATAGGGTATTTCAATATGTTTGCTTGAAAGCCTACAGGAAAACTGCCAGATGCATTTTTCCTTTTGTTCTCTCCAGATTAGCTCAAAGAACTATACTGCTTCAGCAAATGGAAAGTCAGCTCGAAGATCAGAAAAGTGGAAAACAGCTTCAAGCAATAGAGTCGAAAGCAGCTAATAAAAGAAATGCAACTCTTTTAAAAGTAAGGAGGCTTTTTGCAGGTCTTATTTTTGTTATAGATTTTTATGTTTGATGTCAGGAATCAAAATTATTTTTTAGTGTGACTCATCCTCTCATCAGCATTTTTTAAAAGGTCTAATGTAATTGTTATGTAGAAGATGCTTAAAAAAAAGATTTACAGCATGCGATCCCTGTTTGATCTTTCTCTTGTGGTCTTGCATGAAATGCATAATCTGTGATCTGCAGAATCCTATACCAGATTGTGAATTAAAGTTAGTTGGCTGAAGGAATTGCTGTCAAATATAATGTTAAAGACAGAGTACAAATAAATAACATGATTTTAAGTTTTTATTGCAAGAATTAAGAATTAAGTGATTTAAAAAATGTAGCCAAAATCTGCATATATCTCTGTAATATGACAAACAAAATATAGATTTAATTTCTACAGGCACATTGTGCATTTTTCAAAGTGAAAAATCCTAACTACTGATATCAAGTCAGTTGGTTGACTGTAAAACTGTTTTCCTGAACCTTATTTCTTTATAAAAGTTATAAATCATTTTGTTAATTTTCAGGATTTGGAAGCAGCAGAAGAAAGATTAGAGGCTAGTTCACACATGCATCCTCATCCCAGTGTTGCCACACTCAAGGTAGATATTCACTTCCAATATTATTCACATTTTCTTTAAAGTAATGCTTCCATTTGGTTTGCTTCATGTGAATGTTTGAAGCCCAATGAACTGCATTTTTATTGAATATTTTCTGCTGTTGCAGTGCAGTGCCCTCTAGTGCTTTTGTAAGCAAGGAAGATAAGGAAATGGAAAACCTAATGAAATTTACTGCAACNTTTTTTGGTCTCAGCCACCCTTCCGTTAACTCATTTCATTTTTATTATGGAGAAAAATGTAGTACCTAATCTGTGTCAGCAACTATTTGGCATTAGCAGCATCCCACAAATAGCATTAAGATGACTGAAAGATTAATCTGTGAATTTAGGTGAAGGAGGAATAGGGGGCAAAGGGGTAATCTATCCAGAAGCAAGGAGGGCACTAGGAGAGCCTGCTACTCTTCTTCAAGGTAGAGCCATGAGAAATTTAACATCCACATGCACTAACCGAACAAGTAGATAGTCTCTCAGTTTAACATCTCATTTGAAGGACCGCACATGCAGTACTCCGTCATTGGAGTGTCAGGCAAGTTTTGTTGTGGACTGAAATTCACGATTGTCTGATTCAGAAGTTAGAGAGCTACCATCTTATCATTCAAACGATTGGTCACATTTTAACTATTTTACCATTTTTTCAAGTAATGCTGAACTGCAGTATCATATTTGCAAGGTGTTTAGAAGGAAAACCTTTTTGACATTATACGTCCACATTGGTTCTGTTCATATGGATGACTGAAGGCTTGCACTTCAGTCTCCATGGGAACAAATAAATATTGCCCACAGAAACAGACACAGGCATGTATTTTATCAACAAAGCTAAATGGGAGAAAATAAACAACTAATGAAATCATTAGGACATATGATTGTAACATGTAACTGCTCTTTAAAAGAAAATAAGAAATGATTGACCATACTACACTTAAGTTCTTTCCAAAGATTTATTGAATAAACATTGTAGTAAGACATATTAATCTATCCAGAAGCAAGGGGGTAATCATTCTTAAAGTTCCTTATCAGTTCTTCGTGATGTTAAACTGAGACGTTAAACTATCTGTTCTGTCTGTCTGTTCAGATAAGATTTCTCTGTTTAAAAAGAAAAGGGAGTTTCTCCCACTGTTTTGGGCAATCGTCCTCCAGATCAAAAAATGGTCATTCGCTTTATGGTTGTGTGTGGGAGGGACATTGGCTTCTGCTTTCGCCTACAAAATACACAGTGTTTACACTTCACAGAAAAATTCTGTTTTGATGTGATAAGGCACTCTATCAATTATTATCTATTTCATCTTGCCCTTATGTAAAAGGGCTTCACTGGAGGCAAGGGACACCTTCAGAAGTAAGGAGAAAAATTAGTCGTCACCCATGGCCAGTGCAATGCACCTCCTAGTGGATGGCTCTCCACTTGAATCCCCTAACTGAGGGCTCAAACCTCCGCTTGTCGGATGTCAAACAACCGACCAGTGACTATCCTCCCTGGTGGGAGGAGGTAAGCGGGGACTCCTTGAAGCTGAACTGGCTCCAAGGTGACATAGAATCATAGAATCATACAGCACAAAAAGAGGCCATTCGGCCCATCGAGTCTGTGCCGGCTCTTTGAATAGAGCAATTAATGTCAATCCCACTCCCCAGCCCTTTCCCCATAACCCTGCAAACCCGTCCTCCTCAAATACCCATCCACTGCGTTTTTAAACGTTGTTATCGAATTGGCCTCGGCCACCCTTTCAGGCATGCCTGGCTTTGTAATGTTGGAATCGAGCCAGCCCTCGTGGTAGTCTCGATAGTCCAAAAAATAGAAGATAACACCTTTTCCATCTTCATCAGCTCTTTTATTGTTGCGTTGCTTTTATGTTCACTGGTTTACAGCAATCTAATGTAGAAACAAAAACTCAACACAATCATTTATCATACACTAATGATTTTAGTGGTGCCTGCATCCATTTGGAGGAAATTTAAAGACAGTCATGTGAGGAAATCAGAAATTGTTACTTTTGGTTTGGGTCAGGGATTTTTTTAAATGGGGCAGGGGGAGAGAGCTATTTTTTAACAAATGTCTGCTGACTGTTTAACCTAACCTATTTTAGCTGATCTTTTGCAAACAATGTAAGTCTCAACTAAAAGAAAATTATGTTTGATAGAGTGATCTTCTACTAAAGTATGTTGAACTATGTGGCACTTGGACTCAGATTCATATTTGTGATTACCAGAAGGTTACTTAAGGTGACCTCAGGTGTTCTTTGCTTATGCAAAAAGTTTGTCCCATTGAGGAAGGAAATATTGGAGAGTAAGGCAAAATTTCATGCACTTTATAGTGGCCTTCTTGACTAGAATCTGTTGTGACGGGACCAGAAATAGGGAGGAAAAAATGAATAGAATAACTAGGGAATGCAGAAGTAAAACAAAATTGTGTTCCATTTGAGATTTTAATGTTCTTCAGATGTTATTGACTGCAGTAGGGAAGTTCAATGCATAAACCATTGCTATTTATATCCTATGCAGACGAGGTACTGGGCATCTGTTGAACAAGAGCTTCCTAACTGGGAACAGTTTTTACTTGGGCAAAGAATGAGTCCTATCCAAGTCAGAAAACGGAAATATGAGAAAAAAACACAAAAAGAAATAACGCAAGAGAAAGGCAAAGTTGCTCATCTCACGACTCCTCCACACTCACCCAAACTGAAAAGCTGAGGTCCATTAAACTGTATCTCAAATATATTTTGAACAATTTATTGTGTAACCTAAAACTTGTTTTTGTTTGCTGATTTCTTCTATGAAGCACTTTGAGACGTCTCGAAGACGTGATAAGGCACTATATCAAATGCAAGGATTATTATTATTAGAGTTCTCAAATGGTGGTTGAATGCTGTATTTGTATTTTAATAGTTCAGTTTGCCTACAAAATACAGGCACTACACCTTACAGTATATCCTGAGAAGATCTTTGAGATGTCCTGCTGACCTGAAAGGTGCTATGTAAATTGTATTCTGAATGGTTTTGTATGAATTTTCTTTACTTGTATGATAAAGACAAATGTTGTTGAACCAAAGGAATGTTGTCGTATCTGGGTATATATTTGAATATGTATGCAGCGCTCAAAGATGAAACAACATAACTTGGCTTGGTGAGTAAATGCTTAGACAAATGTAGCACTAAGTCATACAAACCAAGGATGTTGCAGATTTGATTCTCGAATTCAAGATCCTCATCTTCACCTACAAGACCATTCACGGCCTTGCACCCTCCTACCTCTCTGACCTACTATCCCCCTACCTACCTGCCCGTACCCTCCGTTCCTCTGGCTGCGGTCTGCTCCACATCCCCCGCCCTAACCACGCTACCATCGGTGGCCGGGCTTTCAGCCTTTCAGCCCCTAGGCTCTGGAACTCCATCCCCCAGTGCCTTCGCCGCTTCCTCCCTTTCCTCCTTCAAGGCCAGTCTCAAGACCTTTCTCTTCAGCCATGCCTTCAGCTCCCCTCTCGACTCTCTACCCCCTCCTCGCTCCCTCCCTTCCCTCCCCTCACCCTGACCATTTCCCCCCTGCTCGGGTCCCGACGCAACTGTCTAGCGCCTTGGGACGTCCTCCCGACATGAAAGGCGCTCTATAAATACAATCTTGTTGATATTATTGTTGTTGTTGGTCTGTGCTGGGTGGCAGTGAAATTTCTCCAATTAGAATCAATGTCCTGAGATTGGGAGGGAGCTAGGGAAATACTCATTATCAGTCTTTGGCCTGCATAAGTGATGCTGCACAATAGATGCCACTAATGTTCTTTGTGCTCAATGGCAGACCCAGTGCAGAAAATTGGTGTCCCATTTCATTAGTGAAATGCGAGAAGGTGCAGCATAGCTAAGTGTTGGTCCCTCCACACTATCCAGACCAACCCCATCTGAAAGGAGAGAAACAGCTTCCTAACATGGCACTTTGGTATCACTGGAGAAATGGATCAGTTCCAGTGGTAGAATGGTTCAAAGCAGCATGGTTCAAATCTCTCCATCTGGGTTAGAGGGTTAGAACAGTCTGGTATGATGTGTTACTCATCAATGTTTCTTGTTACTTGTATTTTCTGTCTGTGGCTGAGATCTGGTCTGACTCATGCCCCCCCCCCCCCCCTCCCCACCAGATTTAACCTCGTACGTGCCACCTGCTCCCAGATTTTAAACAATAAAACAACAATAACTGGGAACTGAGTTTAAACACAACAATTAGTCAACTGCCTCTTTTTACTATTAAAATGTTTCTGAATGTTCTCATTTGAAACATTCAACATAGACCCTAAATAACCTTCCACGCATGAACAGTCTGAGCTCGATCTGATAAGACACAGTAAATACGATCAAAGGTAGTGTGGAGACAATCATTTCTTGCTCTCATGTTACAATACTTACTTGTCCTTTCTGCTCTATAAGAGCAAATATTTGTAGCTAGAACAGAGATCAGAGGAATCAGGAACTTTATATTCAACTCATCAATAAATTGTTATTTAGCTATTTATAATGATACTTTGTTGAAATCCTTATGTAATCTCATAAAAATCAACAAAGAAATATAAGCAAACAAATGATAAGTTGGGAGTACTGAAAGCTCCAACGAGTGCCAAGAAGTATATAAGGCAGGGGTGTTTATACTTTAGTTCAACATTAAGAGCATTTGAGGTTTTTTTCTTTTAAATAGGGCTTTATAATGAGCACAATACAAGGTTAGTACATGTATCCGCTTCATTTGCTCACAAGGGGGCACTGTGGGATGTTAGCATTTGCTTGAAAATACAGTAGTTTTAACAATCCAGTAAATGCAACCGATGATAACGTGTGTGTTTATGTTATATTCTGAACCGTGCATTTTACTGGAATGCTATGATTTTATGCTCCATATCCTGAGATGTAATCTGCCTTGCTGAATTAGACAACTGGTGTGCAGTAACAATTATATAAACGCCTTAGCACAAGTCACTAGAGCAATTCTGGACCACAATAAATGGTAAAAATCACAGATTAAGCATAGAATAATATAGCAATACTGTACGATATACTCAGTAAATTACAGATTAACATTAGAGGATAAATAAATTCTATAAATTATTTTAGAACCTTCAATAATTCTATAGAAGTATTCGTTAGAAATACAGAGTAACTGTATATTGGAACAATTCCTTTCCAAGCACTGTATAGGGTAAAATATTTAATTTCTGAACGGTAACAATTCTTTAGAACATTGGGAGAAACATTAGGCACAAACTAAAAGTACACCATACATTATAAAAATTATAAAGTACGTTGGTGTCCATTACGGTTATTTTTTCTTAACATATATTAAACTGATTATATACATTTTAATTTTAAAAAACGCACCGTCTCTCGTGGTTGCGTTGCGTTAATATTAAGGCATCAGAACTATTAAACATTGCGTAATTATAGCTTTGTGGAATAAATATTAATAATCTTATAGTAGTTTTATGACCAGTTAATAATAATACAGTGCATGATTAAGTCATTTTAATAGACAGTGTAGTTTTAGGAATCCCGGGATACATTCTCCAAGGCAGCAGGGCCATACCTTCCTTGCGGGTTTGGTTTCTTAACAGTACTGTGCGGTTTCAAACAAACAGCTGGCAGTCGAGAAGAGGATCTCTAATAGAAACCCGGTGGATCCTGCTACGAGGTCAACAGTTCGAGGTCACTTTAATACCTACAATTCTCCGTAACTTTGCTTTTATCTTTAGGTGTTATTGACAAGTTTGTTTCGGTTGATTTCATTTATTTATTTGTGACTGCGAAATGAACTGCTTTATTTAAATGCAAGTTATGATCGGGAATGAATGTCAGGTTTCATCATCTGGTCCTTTGATTCTTAAAACAACGTTATAAAGGTAAACTGTGATGAATAAAACATAAAGGTAAAATGTAGTTATTTGAGTGAAATAATAGTCATGAAGTTTGTTTTTGGTGATATAACGTTTATGTTTGTCGTCTGAAGATAATTTTCCAACTTTCTGTGCTACGGATTCTCGATCCCTGAAAAGTTTTAAAGGGCCTTTTAACTTTTAAGTGACACAAAAACACATCCAAGTATAAAATGTCACACCTGCCTATTTGTGTCTAATGTAATTTGTAGGAGTTATTGTTTTAACATTTGCGCGTGTATATATGCATGGTAATTGTGAGATTGTGTCCATGATTGAATCTAACATCAGACTGATTGCTGACGTCTTACCTTACATGTGGGGGTATAACTAATTGATTATCATTGGCAGTATCATAAAATCAATTCCTTTCATCCCATGATTTCCTGACGGATCCACGAGAAAGTGGGGTTCGTGTTCCGAATGCTATTTAGACACTGCTCACAGTTTCACTTGTTGAAACTGACAAGTTAATCAGTCAGATTATGAAAGAATACGTTTACTTCCGTGGATGGTTTCAAGGCACGATTGTCGTTGCACAACGGTTCTCCATCGATCGATTTCATTTGTGAATTGTTGCACTAACAGAAATTACCGACCACATTTCCATTATACTGCTAATTAGCAGAAACGCCTCAGTTCTCCTATAACTATCAACAATACATGACTGAACTGGATTGTTACATAAATGGTTTATCATTCATTTATAGTTAGCGTTGTATTAAACCTTAAGGCCGAACGTAAGGTTTAAGAGCAATATCAATTGAATTTTCTGGCACGGGAACAACGTTGAGTTTGGATTTGGAGGATTCTTGTGGAGTCCTGTAGCTCAGTGGTTAGAGCACTCGCTTTGCAAGTGAGAGACCTGAGTTCAATTCCAGGCAGAGGGCGAAACCTTGGGCAAGTTTCCTTACTCCACACAGAGCCTAATAATAATCCCTCCAAAAAACCCAAAACAATAATAAATTGGTCATTTTCAATCTACGACTGTTTGTGGGACATTGCTGTGCGCAATTGGCTGCCGCGTTCGCCCACAAATATACAGTCAATTCACTTTACAGTATATTCTGTGAAGCGCTTTGGGACGTCCTCCCGACGTGAAAAGCGCTATATCAAATGCAAGGATTATTATTATTATTATTATTATTATTCGGCAGTGGAAATTTTTAATTAAGAATCGAAGATCCTTTCTCGCTTTTTTTGTTCTGTAAAATGGATTAAGCTTCACTCCTCAATAGTCCTGACATCGTGGAGCACTCCTCAATAGTCCTGACATCGTGGAGCACTCCTCAATAGTCCTGACATCGTGGAGCACTCCTCAATAGTCCTGACATCGTGGAGCACTCCTCAATAGTCCTGACATCGTGGAGCACTCCTCAATAGTCCTGACATCGTGGAGCACTCCTCAATAGTCCTGACATCGTGGAGCACTCCTCAATAGTCCTGACATCGTGGAGCACTCCTCAATAGTCCTGACATCGTGGAGCACTCCTCAATAGTCCTGACATCGTGGAGAGACCACAAACTGAGCATCTGCACTGATAAACATGGGGCAGTGACGTCAATGCATAAATGTAACCTGTGAACATCACAACTCAGGTCACCATCTCAGGGGGAATCTGCAATACACTCGGAAAATTCCTCCACTCCGCCTGCCAGACTAGATCTCACTATTCACCCACATTTATATGATCCCAGAGATTTTATTGGACTTGAATTTATCCACCTCCATATAGGTCCTGGGTGCTGCTGTTCAAATACGATCTTCAAGTGGAGGCGGGTTAGGAAGGTAGTGTTGTTCTGCGCTGTAGACGATTTAGAGCTTCTTACTGTCTTTACTAACAACTTTAATTGAGAACGAGGCTTTTTTGCTGAAAAATATTCTAATTGAAAT